TTGCAAGTCTAGAAATGTAAATCTACATGAGAAATCTCTGTATTCTGCATCTTAACAGGAATTACATGTCAGAATTGCATTTACAGGCTTGTTAATTTTTCTAATAGCAGCCTCCTCCTCCTCCTCCTCCTCCTCCTCCTATTACTATTCTTTTGTTTCTATACTGCCCATAGCCCAGAACCTCTCTGGGTAGCTTACAGCAAAGTATAAACACATCTTCTTGTGACTAATACTGTTGTTATTTGGGAGTTAAAATTCTAACACTGTAGATCAGAACACAGACAGGGAATGTGCCTTCCTAACTTTTAATAGTCATATTATTTTTGAATAACTTAGGCCCACTTTATTAAATATGATAGAAACAGAACTACATATATTGTTTGGACAGCTAAGTATGTGAGCAAGGCAAGCGGTGTGCTTGTTGATGACAACTTCCATAGAACATTTTCCCTCTTCCTAGGATAAATGTTGTCTTCAAAATAGACTTAGTAGCTTGGTGTGGTGATTCTTTGTGTCCATGCCTGTTCTACTAGAGCTTTCTGCAGTCTTTGTCATGCTGGACTCTTCTTACATCAGCAGAGATTTTAATCACAAAACAAAAATAATTAATAATGTTGAGACTTTAGGCTAATGTTCAGCTGGTAAACTCATGAGCAAGGCATGAAGTTGTTAATCTATAGTGCACTAGACTATCAGACATAGCTGATGTTCGGAAGTACATGTTCATTTCCTCTGAACGTAAAGGTTTAATTTAGCTTCCATGCTTAATATTATTGATAGCTTTGCAATCTTTGGAATCCTGCTTATTCTTTCCAGTAGTATAAGAATATTATCTAGAGAAAAATCAGACTGAACTACAGATCAATACAATTTTTTTTGGCTATATCACCAAGTTCTTCTTTTGAGTGGCAAATGATAGTTGTCTCTCAATAGGTACAGCCACCTCTCTGCTCCACAGCTTTACTGCTAAAACTATTATTGTCATGGGCACCAAGAAGGGAAAATCAAATATATCTGAAGTATTTATGTATGTATGTATTATATTGCACCTTAAGAAGGTTACATGTGATTCCCAGGTGGTCTCCCCTCCAAGCTCAGGAAAGCCCCAGACTTACTTAGCTTAAAAATAGTGGATGTCTCATATGCCTTCAGTAGCTCAAGGCACCCTAGGATGGGATTAGTACCAAAGCTGTTTGAGTATTAGCTAGTCCTCTATTTGAGGAGCTCCTCAAGGACACTCGTCTCTTAAAAAGCACCAGCTGAAGAGCTGCCCAAAATGAGTCCCATATGACAACCCTGGGGAGGGACACCTGGAACTTGCCCATTAACTGGGTGACAGATTGAGTGGGCAAACAATTTACATAGCCATTTTTTTCACAAGAGTATAAGTTGTATGTGCACTTAAAATATAGTTGTTATTTCTGATATTTCATCTACATATATGAAATTGGCATAAGCCAATGTTCTCTTTTTGTCATTCATTTCTTTTTTCTTTTGGAGTGGTGTGCAAGTGAAAACCTCAATTTTTCTTGAATTATCATTTGTATGCTGATTCAGAACTTCAGGAATACTTCTGGAAGTATATGAAATTCTTCTGGTTTTGGTACAGGAATTATATAAAATTCCTGGTTTTCCTCTTGCACTTGTGGGTCCAAATATGTCCTGTGTGCGTTTAGATACAGATAAAACTGTCACATTTGGTTTCTTTAAATATTTATTTTTTATAATCTTAAATTCAGCTCATACCATTTTTGCCATCAGTTTGAGAATAAAGACAATTACATGAAAATTGCAAAGACAACATGTTTTGTAAGCAACTTTGCCTAATTACATGTATTTTGAAGAAGCAAAATACAACCTTTGAAAATGAAACTTCCTCAATATTGTACATTTTGTCTGATATTTCACTAAAATACATTTTTATTTAAGAGTTACATTCCAAAATTCTCAATGAAGTGAGAATTATATAGATAACTATCTTTATGTTTGGGTATTGGCTTGAATGTATGAAATTGAACATATCAAATTAGTGTATTCATATTAAAACCAAACCAAATGGCTCCCTCCCCACTCCACCTATAGTGTGTTTGTTGGAGAAATTTACTGGGTCAAGCAATGATTAGCTTGTACCTACTGCCCAGATATGTATTGATTATTATCCAGGCAATGTAAATATATTTAGGCTATAATCCTATGGCCTCTAGATGCTGCCCAGATGGCCATAGGATACATCATTCTAGCTCCATCCCCAGAAATGTGCTTCAAGTTCCAGCTCCAGCTGGAAATGCGTTTCCAACTCAGAGTTTCCAACTCAGAAATGAGTTCTGAGCTCAAAACTAGGACTCTGACCACAGAGCACCCTCTCTCCACCCTAATGGCTGGCATAGTTTTGTATACATGGCTGCACCCAGGAGGAGAAGAGCATGGCTTCAGACGGATCAAAAAAAATCCTGGTGATGCCTCATCACCTTTTCTTCATAGTTGAGGCAAAATCCACCCTCTGTGTCTTTTGCAGGTGACAGAAGTCCTTGCAGTCCTTGGCTCCAAGCTCCCCATGTACTCATTTAGTTGTCCATAATCCTCAGATTTGGAGAATTACAGGCAGCCATGTTGTATGGTGCTCTCCAATATCTTTCTTTTTTATTTCAAAGAAGTTGGAGATTTTAAAACTACATGCATGACAATATGCTTTAAGGGAGTTCACCTTGATTTGCCTTTGAGGGCACTATGTACCCAATCTCTGTTATTTATCCTAGTTAAATTAGCTCCATGTACATGAGATGTATCTGACCTTTATGTGCTGGGCATCTCTCCAAAGCTTGTTGCTTTTGTCCTTAATAAATTGTTAAACAAAACATCTATTGATATTTGGAAAAGCGAGGAGGTATGAAAGCCACCTACAGAGCCAGAGTGGAATCCTCCAATGGTGCAAAAGTTCATCTTTTCGATGTGCGTTCTTTTTCAAGTCTTTACATGTGTATCAGCAATTCCATGCAAGCACGTCCTTAAGGGTTTTTGCTCTGTGCCTCTGGTATTACTTGATGGAAGGGAGGGAAAGAAGCAAAGGGGGGGGAAAGGGAAGTTGAAAGGATAAGGACGTGTCCTTCTATATAATTAAAATAAGTTTTAGCACAGATTTTTTCCAAGATTCACAAGCTTAGCCGTTAGTACTCAGTTCTAATTTAGTGGGAGTTAGGGTTATAAATCCCTTTTGAAAAGAGATTAGGTATCCCTTGGTTTCAGAGAGAAGAATGAGCAATTTGTATGAGGAAAAACCAGAAGAAATTGAAGCTATAGGCTTGAATTAACTCTGCAAGTTTATTTGGGCATTCCAAACAGACCTGTAATTAGAGCTGCTCGCTTGACCAAGCTGTTACACATTTTATTTAAAGGGGAATGTAGAAAAGACACACATCACAACAGTGAATGCCAGGTTTTAAATGTGATGATGGTATGAGCTATAAGAGACCTATTTTAAATGGATTATGTGTATCCAAAATCCTAACTGACTCAGGCGCAAGGGGATTGAGGACACTGTGTTGCAGTTATGAAGATGTGCCAATGGCTAGGAAGGGAGATGACTAGGTAGCCACTCAGAAGATCATCCCTAGTTGCAAGAAGACAAAGCCCCTGTTCATTGGTAAAGTCCATGCTTTACATGCAGAAGATTTCATCTCCACCTTGTCCAGGAAGGGATGTACCCTTGCCTGAAATCCTTACTGCCAGGGTTAACTGTACTGGGCCCAATGGACCAGTGGTCTGACCCAGCATAAGTGCGTTCCCTTGTTTCCAAGACAAAATATTAATTATGACATTAATTGACAGAAATGTATCAAGAAAGCCGCAGTTTGGATATCAGGAAATGATTCTAGGTCTAAGTGTCATATAGCTAAAAGATTGAGCCTGGCTGAGGAAATTCAAAAGATGTAAAAGTTCATTAGAACCAAAACTTACATGTTTACTGGAATTAGGACAAAAACAGGATGTATGCTTATATTTCATGCCCCTTTATGGCACACAAAACAGTAATCAAACAACCCCAGAGGAGCCCCTTTATAAGATTATGAATATTCTTATTAATTAGAATATGGAGCTTTGGCTGAGAAAGAATGACTTGCCAGGATTCACAAAAAGACCATTTGGGGTATTTAGATTGTCACTCAAGGCTGCTCAGTCCAACAATCTGTTGACCCCATTTCGCTCAAAAGTGTGTGACTGACTTGGGGGATTTTCACTCCCCAGCACTGCTACTACCCCACCACTTTTGGGGTCTCTCCTCTCCTCTCCTTGCTATGTTTCTAGCAAAAGGATGGGGAATTTGCTCATGGGGGCTCTCAGGATGCATAGCAAGGCTGGGAAGATGGAGTGGGGACTGTAGAAACTGTGAGGCCATGGGGATGGAGCCTGGACCATGGAATCTGTGCTACCTAGGTAACCATGTGACCATCTGACCAATAAATTTAAGCAAAAATCCTCAAACCGGGGAAATAGTGCAGGATTGCTTGCCATGTTGTGTGAACCCTACCAGATATATTACTGCCTATCAGAGGCCTCGCAAAGTGAAGCACAAAGACCAGCACATAACTGGCACCTACCAACAATGGGAAAATGGCATTCCTGGGTCTGAATGGAAACATGAAAACCTTAGCACAGAACATTCATTCCCTCTGTGGTTTCATAAAACTAATCCTACCATAGAGGAACTCTGGGATTGTGTCCAGACAATGCAACAGGCCCAAGACAGATTTCACCATAGCTTTGGTGCTGTGCAAACCTGCCCATTATTTATCAGCTACTTCTTCACACTAACCATGTATCTGAAATTCATCTCTATATGCAAGAACCCTTTAGCAATGGTGCTGGTAGGATTGTGGACTCTCCTTGTTTTGGTGTTTCTCTGGAAATCACTGAACAGGAGGACTTTGGCATAAGAACATAAGGAGAGATGAGACAGTCGGCCTATGTGCTTCCAATCTGTTTCTCACAGCGGGCAGCCAAAGGCCTTATGGAAAGCCAACAAGCAGGACGTGAGGGCAATTGCCTTTTCATGCTGCTGTTCAGTGCATGCTGCTTCTGATCGCGGACTAGGCAATCACACCCTGATCTTTGATGGATGTGCCTAATAATCCCCTTCTAAACCCATCTAAATTTGGCACACCATGGGACATTCTAGGGAATCGCCTACTGGAATGCAGAGTAACCGATTCAATTTGTCAGTACCCCAAGAGAGAGATGCCAACTTTTTTATTCTAAGGTTGGAATCATATACATTTATCTGGGACCAAGTCCGGCTGAACTTAACAGGAGTGATTGTTTTGAGTATAGAAACACCACAGAATTATGTCCTTGGATACCTCTCACCAGATTTCAAGGATAGTAACTTTCTAATGCACACATGTATGGCATGGTTGGCTTGAGGCCATTGGCTTGTTGAATTTAGGAGTCCTCGAGTTTCCTGAACAATCTCAAGAGACAAAATTGCCTCTTTTTGCTTTTCCAAAATGTATGTGGTGTATGGAGTTTTGCTGATTGTTCCTTACATGCAAATGTTAGTACACAATGTTTAAAAAATCACCTCATTTCATGTAAGAAATATAGCAAGTATTCTATCTGGAAATTTATAGCTCCTCTATTTTTTATCCTTTTGTCCATATGAAAAAAATACCAATGAACCAGGACTATAGACTGACCAAGATGGGTGGAAAAGGACGGGGTCACATAGTCTTTATTTTGATAGTTGCCTTATTCCTAGCATGCAAACAAATGTACCTATGTTCGTTTTACCTACTTGCTTGTCTTAACCTGCAGATGTTCTTCTTTTTTTCTGTATCTAAGAAACAAATCAACCCTAAAGAGCCCTGCAGGGGCACCTGTTCTTTTACTGAACAATCTGGATTATTGCATCAGCAAGGGAAGTGAAATCAAAGTGAATCATTTCTAAAACTGCATGTAAACAAGGCATAAGACAAGCTTGTATCTAAAGCATTTTTTCCTGTGGGTAATGGATGATTTGCTTTTTTGATCAAATGATTCCTTTTCTTTATTTTGTCTGTTTTTGGAATCTGCAATGAAAGACCACTGCCATTCTGAGAAAAAGGGGAAAAAAACCTACCTAGTGTCTTTGTTAATAGATTCTCTGGAAAACCCGTAAAAGTGCACAATACTTGCGTTGCTCTTTCTCCTAGTATTATCTTTCGAAAAGCCTCAGTCATATTATAGTAGATTGTATTAGAGAAGGTTAATTGGTTTTACTCTTGAAGATGGCTTTTTATCCCTTGCTGTCAACACATATAAGCACTATGGAAGACACTCTGTGGCCCTTTTGTAGTCCAAGGGAAATGGCATTTTATATGCTCATGAATTGCTAATACAATGTATGCATGTAAAATAGAAAGGGGAAAAGCCCAAGCTTGTTTTAAGCAGTGTGGGTGGCAATAAGACCTGCTACGTGTCTTGCCCATTATAGCAATCTTCCTGCTAATGAAGAACATACCTGGCCACTCTTCCCCTGATTAGCCACATTCTTATCATGCTACTTGGGAAATAGATTTAATGGCTGATCACATGAGAGATTGTGCTTATCAGAGGTGGTTTATCCTCTTTGCTGGTGGTCCTTCGGCACAGCTGCAGCTTCTCACTGTGAGATCAGGGCTTGTTTTATGGTGCAGCATTCCACTGAAACAGCAATTCCAGGAATGTTGTTATGTGCTTTGCCAGTGTGGCAGCTTTGGACAATTTGCTTTGCTCTGCTCCTCCAGTATTTGCTGGATTGGGCGGGCTGCAGGTTCTCACTCAACTCCCGTCTTTCTCAAATGCAAGAGAAAGATAGTAACCCTTCGATGACCTCTGAGTCACAAAGGTCTCGGTGTGTATGTTCTTTCTAACTGGATGGCAGAAGTGAAGTTTCTAGAATGGCTGAGACCTCAGTCATGTAGCCCTGTGACTCCCAGCGTTCCTGAGCCAGCTCAGTAGGCGTGTTAGGGATTTCTTGTGTCTAAATATGATTAGAATTGCATTCTTTAGGGATAATAAGATTTAAATAGTAAATATATAGTCCAAATACAATGAACAACATTTATTGCAATGAAAGTGCATGTGTATGACTGTGTGTTTAAAATGACAAATGACTAGTATTACTAACTTGATATACCAGAATATTTACTAAACACTCACTGGGCCTCAAACTAGGATGTGTTTCCTTTTTTATTGTATGTAATGCAATTTTAAAATAGCAAACTATTTCTAATTGTATTATTTGTGTGTTTAATGCTTGGTGTTTATAGAATAAAACAGGATTGTGGTTGGTCTGTCTAGCATCTACAGTATGTAAAATGATACCTTGGCATAGTAGATGACATCTTCAGACTGCAATTTCTCACAGAGGAGTCTGAGGTTCCGTGAAAGAAGTTATTGGGAAGGAAAGAGAAATACCTCAGTGTTTGCCACGGGGCTTGCGAATATGAAATAGCACAGAAAAGAAATGCCACTCTGTTTTCCTCACTTGTGTGTGTCCTGTTAATGAGATGCAAGACATCAGTTGTGGAGCCAAGGAGGGGGCTACACAGCTGAAAGGGCTGGAGTGGTCAAGTTGTAAAAACTAAGCTGGAAAGGCATGGCCTGCAGCTGGACGGATGGCCCCATGTGGAAGCAGAGCGGGAGGCTAGACTTGATGGCCTCATAGGTCTCCTCCGGCCCTTATGCTATGCACAGTATGCTGTGCTAAAAGTAGCAGTACTGTGTCCCATTTATTCTGTGGGAAGAAATACATTTGTACAATTGCAGGGACCCAGTGAAACCTCTTCCCCAGAGTGGTAGCCTGTCTGCTGAGCAGGAGAGCATGTTCAGACCCACCTAAATGCATACCCTTACTTAGTTTCATAGAAACAAATCACTGCCAAACACACAGAGACAGAAATTAGGGTACCTATGTGCCCATGTAAAATACACAGGTCCATTTCTTCTCTCCTCTAAGTCTGTTATAATGATGGATGTATTACTAGTATTGAAGTCCTGCAATGTAAATATACCTATATGCTATTTCTTGTGTAGATTTTTAAAAAAGTAATACCTGCTGATATCTGTATATCACATTTGCAAACAGAAAGACTTCAGAAGCTGGCTAAACAGAGCATCCAAAAGTGGGCTAGGTAAATTAATTTGGACTATATCAAACCATATTATCTGTTGTAGACTAGTTAAAAAACTAGTCTGCTTTGTCACTGTGCCTTCCCTGTTTGCTGCAAGCATTTAGGAGAGTCTTTGTTAGCAAGAAGGAAACTGTACTGGCAAGATTAATTTCTTTAGTATGGAGAAGATAAATAGTAAGAGAATTGAATCCATACTCGATCAGAAGTGACCAGAAGTAATTATTTTCACTTGGCTGGCATGAAATCAGCTTGCGAAAATCCTAACACCAGAGAGAGGGGAAAAAAATCAGAACTTTCAGGGGAATGATGATGAAATGTTCATAAAACCTGTACCAAATTTTGAAGCCATATAAATGGGCATTTTCCTGTGCCTTTAGACCCTCTGAAATCTGGTCAGAGATTTCAATGTATTTGTATTTCAATGTATTTTATCATGTTGTAAGCCGCCCCGAGGTTTCGGCAAGGGGCGGCATAGAAATGTTATAATAATAATAATAATAATAATAATAATAATAATAATAATTTGTGTCTTATATAGCACTAAACTAACCTGAGCAGTGAAAGCTGGCATTCTGCATAATCTATACAAAGCACAGTTTAAGTCTCTGATTTCAGCAATGATCTCAGCACATGCTTAAAATCCCAGGGAGGTGTATTGATTTGTAACATTCTGTTTTTTCTCAGGATCCCAAGGCTGTGTGTACAGTCTTCCTCCTCTTCTCACAGCAGTCCCGGGAGACAGCTTGGGGTGAGAGCCCATGACTGGCCCAAAGTCACCCAGCATGCTCCTTGGCCAAGTGAGCACTGGATCTGAAATCTCTTAAGTTATGGTCCAGCTCTACCCAGGGCACCACCCTGGCTTATCTGGAATTCACAGGATTTGGAGTTGGAACTCTGAACAGTCCTGTGCCTGTTCACCCACCCAGTCATGTCAGAAGGCCATAGGGTCACACCCTGAAAGACTAATCATATAAACAATATTTCCCAAAGCATGCTAGGAATTCTCCATATATTTACTGTGAACCACTGCTGTATTGCAATTTTCCTCCTTTCTGTTCATGAATGTCTTACTCTACTGCCCTGTACTTCCTGCACTGAAGTCAGGGGAGAATGCATGGTTCTTTTGCCCTCCCCATTCCCGAACAGCAGCTCTGTGAGGTAGGCTAGGCTGAAGGTCGAAGCACTGAGTTTCATCATGACTCTTGGCTCAGTATAGGATTGCGTGGTCTTCAGGCATGCCCTCACGGGACTGCCTTAACTGTGGCAGAGAGACCACGGACAGTAGGATGTGCTTTTCACTGTCTCCAGGACCTGACATTGGGCAGAACTGTCAGTCTCAGTGTTTCCAAATCCCATTTTTGGAGGGTGAGGAAGAGAGAAGTCAAGTTTTTTCTATCCCATTTCTGCATTAGCTTGCCTAATATTTTCTAAAATATATGCTTTCAGGAAGCCCTTTCCCTGAATGGGCACATTTTTAATGTAGGCATTTTAGAAACATAGAAACAGAGCAAGTCAGAAGGGGTCTCCTGGGCCATCTAGTCTGACCCCCAGCTCCAGCCAGCTTCTCTCATAACATTCCTCTCATGTGCATGTCTAGCCTATCCTTGAACACCCTCAGCGATGGGGCTTCAACCACCTCCCATAGAAGCCCACTCCATACCCTTGGGGTCCTAAGGGATCCAAGATGAGCTCTATCTGAGAGCTCAGGACACACGGATTCCAGAACACAGGTGTGAAGGAGAAACAAATTCGGGAATGGGACTGTCCTAGGTATGTTTAGACCAAAAGAAGTCCTACAATTCCCATTATTCCTCAGCTAGCCATGGCAGGCAGAGGCATGCTGGGAATGGAGGACCTTTTTCTGTCTAAACATGAATAGGATTGCAGGTGCATTTAATTAAACAGAAAACTGCCTTTAATGCAGCACATTTCTCATTTGAAATTTCTCATTTCCACGTGAAGCTGAAAATGAGGTACTGAATGGCACCATGAATGCTTCCAGAGGCAGGGCCGCTAGCCAGCATTCCACAGGTATTGCACTGCCATTACATCAAGTTCCCTTCTCAGTGGATCTTTGTTGTTGTAAGAAGAAAGGCGGATGCAGCAGTGGGAAAACACGGGAGGGTTAAAAGTGGAAAAGGATGCTGTCTTTAGCCCCATAAGGTTCCATGAATGTTACAGGGTGACTGCACAAAATGCCTCACCTGGAAGCAGCCAGCAATACATGTGTAAAGAAAAAAAGGAAAGAGCATGGTTCTGGTCTCAAAACTTTTCCCACTTCTTAAATACAAAACGGAAGACATCGCTAGGCGTTCCTAGATTTGTTGATGATGACTTCCCCCTACAGTTTTCTCAACAGTTCCGCTCTATTACTGTCATTAGATAAGTAGCTATTAGACTATTAAGATATGACATCACCATTCTTATCCTACAAACAGTGGGTGTAAAACTGTAGTCAAACCTGCTTCCAACCTGATAAAACTCCCCCACCTACAGCACTCTTTAATATAGTCTGTATTTAACCACCTTTACTTCATTTTCTGTCAAAATATATGCTTGCTTCTAGTCTTAATCCTTTTTGTGTTTGCA